GACAAGCTCATGGTTTCTTTATTTCACTTTATAGTACGCATACTGCTCGTCTCTCATTTTGTTTCATCCTTCTAAAATTTTCAACAGTTTTGTATTTGAACGGAACGGAAGACATGCGAGGAACAGGAAGCAGGCTTGGCTTTACAGCATCCAAGGGGGGGGTCCTAAGCGCTCTAAAAAAATCTAGCACAAATCGTCTTAAAGGGCTTGATCCACATCCCAAGTCAGTGCAGAAGCGCTTATCCCAGTGAAAGCTGGATCATGCCAGTAGGGCAGTGTCACGACCGTGTGAAATCCCAGATTACACATGCGAGGAACAGGAAGCAGGCTTGGCTTTACAGCATCCAAGGGGGGGTCCTAAGCGCTCTAAAAAAATCTAGCACAAATCTTCTTAAAGGGCTTGATCCACATCCCAAGTCAGTGCAGAAGCGCTTATCCCAGTGAAAGCTGGATCATGCCAGTAGGGCAGTGTCACGACCGTGTGAAATCCCAGATTACTACCCTCACAAGCTGCCTCTTTCGCTCTCATTTATTCACGTAAGCAGGCTGTGGACTGCTCCTTAGCCACCTGTAATTGTCTGTTCCCATGGTTTACCTTTCTCCCTTATGTATCTAAGTGTTAGGCAGAGCAATATGCCTAAGTTGTCAGACAACGTTGAAACAGGGTTAATGCCCTCACCCTCCCTAGCTCTGTGCAGCATGGAGCCAGTTTTGCCAGAAGACAGTGAGACATCTCAGTGGCAAGCTTTGTCACCCTCTTATTCCAAATAATTTATAATCCTGTTGAACAGCACTTATGGCTGTTGAACTTCATTAGTAATTTTTCCCTCTTATGAGGGCTGTCTTTAACACTATCTTTTGTTTTCTATCATTTAACTGGTCATTAAGCTATCCTTCATCTCAAAACAGCTTAGTTTCAGCAGTGAGACATCTTTATGGAAAACTATTCTGAAATCCAAATACTTTATATCAATGGAATTACCACCGGTGTCATTTTAGTTTTATAAAACAGACACACAACCACACATACTTTAGCAAATAGGGACAGGATCTCTCAATTCATAGGTTACAGAGATACTGTTACAAGTGGTAAAGAAATCTTCGCTATTTCTTTCAATGCCAAGAAATCCTTGCTACTGATGTACTCGCAATTCCATTAATAGGAGTACTGCAAAGCCACGGTCCAGATGAAATTGTGATGATAACCAAGAAGTACAGACACCAAGTTAGTTAAACACAGAAAAAGATGCCAAATATCTTTACAAACATGCCTTAATCTAATTATATAAGACACCGCATTTCACATCTATCAGGGTAAGAGTTAGAAACCCTACCCGTGGCCCTCTATTCAAATTATTCCTTTGAGTATGGAAGCACCTGTAAAAACTCTTCACTCGTCAGCTTAAAATATTCTAAGAAGTAGAAATACACCAGCAAGGTTTATAAGAATCAGTGGTCATACAAAGCTTTGAGAAAACAAGAAGTGTTGTAGCACTGTGAAGAAGATAAAGCAATTAAGTTTTCACTATTTTATTTAGCATTCTGCAGGGACGGTGCTGGAAAATGCTTCCATAATAAACTAAGAACACGTTCCATGGATTGCTGTGAAATAGTCCCAGAGCTGTCTGACTTCTGCTCAGCAACGGCACACAGCCTTGAGCCCAAAACCTTGCATTTAGCTCATTCTCATAGGAAATGCTGGCCAAAAGGACATCAGGTTACATACCCTGCAGTTATATTTTAAATATAACTACCTTTCTCATGGACAGTTCACCAAAGCTCCCAAGAACGAAGACAATCTCAACTAAATATTAAAGCCTATAATGTAAATGCACAGCATCAGACCTATCATTTCTTAAAGTGTTCTCAGTTACAATTATAAGTTTTATCTTTTTGACTTTCACATCAGTTAAAGCAGACATCCTGAATTTAACCGAGAGTAAAATAAAGGTCAGTACCTTATTAGACACCCCATATATAACTTTATTTCAGTGGTTTCAAGGCTTTCTTTCTATGGGTTATGAATGGCAATCATGTATATACAACTGAAGATGAGTGAAAAAAATATTAGATCCTCAATTATGGAATTATTTTAACTTTTTTTGACATGTTTCTAAATAGGACATCTTTAATATTTGGTCAATGACAGCGAGCTATGTTCTGTCCCAGACTTACTTTCTCTGCAATTTATCCACAATATTCATCACCAAACAAGAAAAAACAAATTTTTCACAAAAATGAGAGAACATAGAACATATATTTTAATTTCATTTTATAATGACATCTTCTCCCTTAGTCATGATGTTTTTCCCAAGTCATTAGAGTGTGATTTACCTGCAACTCCACATAAAATGGATAACGTGCTGAAGTAAGAGTACGCAGCACTGATAAAACTGTAGCTCATACAATTTTTCTTTCAGAAGCAGCAAAAATTTTCACAATCGAGTCAACTGCATTTTGCTGCTGTCTAGAAAGTCCTGAAAAAGAGCAAAGATGATTTATGAGGGAAGTCTTTTCCTAGGAACAGCAGACAGGGATGGAGACCCATTCTTCCTCTTTTAGGAGGAGGTGAGCTCCCTTCCTTACAGTAGCTGTGGGTCAGGAATTCAGATTTGGCCACATACCAGACCCGACGGATCACTTTATGGTAGCAATGCTAATATTAAAAAAACCCAAACAACCCAGAAATCCTCTCAGAATTTTATTTCTGATTCCTATATTGCAATTACGAACACCAATACTTTTTTGGCTTACTTTCCATTTGCAGTAGGCAACTAATGAAGTGTTTAAACTTGCCTCAGTAATAATTTACACCTGTGTGGAGGGGGAGGAGGCATTCCTCTGCTTTCAACTATTCCGAGAGATTTTTCTTCCCCAATTTTGGTACTCCTCCTATGCGGATTTTCTTCCCTCTCACCACCCCATTACCCTATGCAGGACTCAATTTCCAAACCGCCCAACAAACCCCGGTCAGCCATCTCAAAGCCTCGGGAAAATTCAACAGCCACCGGCCTCGTCGTGAAAATCATCCCCTCCTCCCTCACCTTCACCTCGGCCACCCCGGTGAGTGACGCGAGCAAAACCTCAGCAAGCAAGCGACGAAAAATGAGCGGGGAAGAGGGGAAAGTATCTCCCCAGCTGTTTTTATTAAAGACCCCACAGAAACACACCTGGGAAAGGGGCAAAGCCGAGAGGCGTACCGCCC